CAAGCAGGAAGCAGGTGGAGGGGTGATTCATTTCTTCTGTGAATCCAAGAGAGCTGAATCCTAAATTAACAGTGGGAGGAGCTAAGAACCAATCTTATATGCACCAAAAAAGTTATCCGAGGCTTAGAAGACATTAATATCTTCTGTTTGTGAAGGGGGTGAAAACAGGAGAAGTGGTTGAACGTCAATTCACAAAGCACTATAAACCTGTCTCTCCCCCACTCCAACAGAAGATTGAAGGTTTATTCCTAGTGCACTTGTAAACAGGGATTTTATTTAATATATGCAAAAGAAGGTCATTATGTGAATGATGAAACTCACACCCTCTAAATATGACAGCCAGACTTAAAATCTCCAAGGAGAAGAATCTTTCTGAGAAATTTGATCAGTACAATGGGATAGGGAATGGGGACAGGAAGAATGCGGGATTGCCCTAATAAATGACCCAGGCAAATCACTGTACACATTTGTAGCCCAGTCAGCAAGCCCTTCCTATCTTTGTAGAGCTTCTAATTAGCTTGTCAGTGTGCCCACTTTTTTTTTTTAGTTGAAGTCTTGCTCTGTTGCCCTGGCTCCAGGCTGGAGTGCAATGGCGCAATCTCAACTCACTGTAACCTCTGACTCACGGGCTCAAGCGATTCTCCTGCCTCAGCCTCCCAAGTAGCTGGGACTGCAGGCGTGCACAACCACGCCTAACTAATTTTTTGTATTTTTAGTAGAGATGGGGTTTCACCATGTTGGCCAGGATGGTCTTGATCATTTGACCTCATGATCCACCTGCCTAGGCCTTCCAAAGTTCTGGGATTACAGGTGTGAAGCCACAGTACCCAGCCATTTTTTTTTTTTTTTTTTTAGACAGAGTTTTGCTCTTGTTGTTCACTCTGGAGTGTAATGGTGCAATCTCAGCTCAATGCAACCTCCACCTCCCAGGTTAAAGCAATTCTCCTGCCTCAGCCTCCTAAGTAGCTAGGATTACAGGCATGCACCACCACACGTGCTTAATTTTTGTAATTTTAGTAGAGATAAGTTTTTGCCATGTTGGTCAGGCTGATCCTGAACTCCTGACCTCAGGTGAGGTCTCCCAAAGTGCTGAATTAGAGGTGTGAGCCACCGCACACAGCCACCCACTTTTGTATGTGTGTAAGTGGCAAAGGGTTACCAGATTTAGGAGGACAGTCTTTTATACAAAACATAACTTTGAAGAAGCAGATTATGCAACAGAGGGAAACTTTAAAACATTACTGGTAATGGCCTCACGGAAATAAAATACTACAGCATGGAATAATTCAAGAATGCCGTAATTAAGATATAACCAGGCCAGACGTGGTGGCTCATGCCTGTAATCCCAGCACTTTGGGAGGTTGAGGCAGGTGGATCACCTGAGGTTGGGAGGGGCGCATTTCTATAATCCCAGCTACTCAGGAGGCTGAGGCAGGAGAATCGCTTAAACCTAGGAAGCAGAGATTGCAGTTAGCTGAGATCACACCACTGCACTTCAGCCTGGGCGACAGAGTGAGACTCCATATCACAAAAAAAGAAGGGAACAATAGATACTAGGACTACTTGAGTGTGGAGGGTAAAAGGAGGGTATGGATCGAAAAACTACTTATTGGGTACTATGCTTATGAGATGGGTAAGGAAATAATATGTACCCCAAGCCCCAGAGACACTCAATTTACCCATATAACAAACCTGCACATGTATCCCTGAACCTAAATTGGAGTTTAAAAAAACTGAAGAAAAGTATGGGCTCTTAGAATGTCGTTTATACTTTCTTTCTTTCTTTTTTTTTTTTTTTTGTGAGACAGAGTCTTGCTCTGTCACCAGGCTGGAGTGCAGTGGCACAGTCTCGGCTCACTGCAACGTCTGCCTCCTGGGTTCAAGAGATTCTTCCACCTCAGCCTCCCGAGTAGCTGGGACTACAGGTGCGTGCCACCACACCCAGCTAATTTTTGTATTTTTAGTAGAGACGGGGTTTCATCATGGCCAGGATTGTCTCAATCTCTTGACCTCATGATCCACCCACCTCGGCCTCCCAAAGTGCTAGGATTACAGGCGTGAGCCACCATGCCCAGCCAAAAGTCGTTTATACTTCCTAAGCCTTGGTTATTTCATCACTAAATTAAAGGTGATGATAACAGTCCCAATTTAAGATCAAATGAGATATTGCAAGCTGGACACATTAAAAGTGTCACTATGGCAGGGAAAATGTGGCACATATACACCATGGAATACTATGCAGCCATCAAAAACGATGAGTTCATGTCCTTTGTAGGGACATGGATGAACCTGGAAACCATCATTTTCAGCAAACTGACACAAGAACAGAAAATCAAACACCACATGTTCTCATTCATAGGCGGGTGTTGAACAATGAGAACACATGGACACAGGGAGGGGAGCATCACACACTGGGGTCTGTTGGGGGAAATAGGGGAGGGACAGCAGGGGGTGGGGAGTTGGGGAGAGAGAGCATGGGGAGAAATGCCAGATATAGGTGAAGGGGAGGAAGGCAGCAAATCACGCTGCCATGTGTGTACCTATGCAACAATCTTGCATGTTCTTCACATGTACCCCAAAACCTAAAATGCAATTAAAAAAAAAAGTGTCACTATGGGACTAGCCCAAACTGAGCCTACTTTGTTGATAACAAAATGTCAAGTTACCTTTTAGATATAACAGAGCTGAAAACTGCAAGTCATGTAGCCCAGGCATGTGCAATAGAAAAAGCCTGGACTTGTAACAACACCCAAACCAATGAATCCTTTTCTTGAAACCAAGAAGACCAGGACACAACTGGAACCTAAACTTGGAACCCTTTCAAAAGCGATGGATCCATTTGCCTGGAAGATCGGACCTAAAATCAGCCTCTGTGTACCTCTTTGTAAAGGGTCGAATTTAAAGTCCTCCAATCAACCTGCCAATGAGCCACATTCCTAAATCCTTTCTCTTGACTTTCCAAGCCCATAAGTTTACCCCAGACCCCAAATCAAGGAGGCAGATTTGAATCCACTCCTATCTCCTTGCCGACCAGTTGTGCAAATAAAGCCTTTTCTTCCCTCAAAAGCTTATGCCACATAGTATGCATTCTGTGCATGCATTGAGTAGAGAGCTTATTTGATTGATAACAAAACAAGCTATTAATACCTACTATTTCTATTATTATGCATTCCCCTAGCTCCCACCATGTTAAATATTCCTGTAACTTTCATTTCTACCTTAACATTTTCTTAAATCTATCCAATAAGTTTTCTCTTAGAAGCTATCTGCCACAGTTATCTTCCTTTAATATCACAACCATCTACCCAGTCACCCAAATCAGAAACCTGGAAGTTAGCCTTGATTCTGTTTCTTTACTTCCTATGTCAAAATCAAAATTCTTTTGCTTCCTCCTGAATAGCTCCTTTATTCATCCTCTCCTGCCCCTCTCTTCCTCCATTGCTCCAATTTAGACTCTAGATTTCCACCTTTGCCTTACAAGTGGTCTTTACCTCTAAAAGTTTCCATATATTTGTCCAGGATTTTTCTTTTTTGTGTGTAACTGTGTATCTCTTTGACATCCACGCTGGAGTGCAGTAGCACAATCACAGCTCATTGCAGCCTTGACCTCCTGGGCTTAAATGGTTCTCCCGCCTCAGCCTCCTGAGTAGCTGGGACCATAGGCATATGCCACCCAACCAGCTAATTAAAATAAATTGTATTTGTAGAGATGGAATCTCACTATGTTGCCCAGGTTGGTCTTGAATTCCTGGACTCAGACAATCTTTCCACCGCGGCCTCCAAAAATGTTAGGATTAGAAGCATGAGCCCCAGCACCAGGCTTAGATTATTTTATTCACAAGAGGTGTAAAGATTATCTCATTTTATATACATGTCAGCTAAAGAAAAAATAAGGGTTTTAAAGACTCAAAGTTAGGGCCGGGCACGGTGGCTCACGCCTGTAATCCTAGCACTTTGGGAGGCTAAGGTGGGTGGATCACCTGAGGTCAGGAGTTCAAGACCAGCCTGGCCATCATGGTGAAACCCCATCTTTAAAAAAAAAAAAAAAAACTCAAAGTTAGTTTTTTTTGGAGTCTTACTGAGGAATGCCACCCTGGAGAGTCTTTCAAAGAGTTTATGTTAGACTGCTCCAAAGCAGCGTTTCTGCCCACGGTTTCTATATCAAGGTGGGGGGGTTCTGGATGCGCTCAAAAGTTACGTTAAACATGCTCAGAAGTTACACTGGAGCAAAATCTCATCAAAGTTTTGGTTGGAGAGTACATCTGATTATAGATTACAGAGGCATAATCATAATCATTAATCCTGTCATTTGTTATCTTATGTACAGGAATAGGCAAGGGCCAGGATCACTGAACATATCTTTTCTAAAAAAATGAAGTGATTCAAGCAACAGATGTGGAAACCTGTGCTCTGTCCTACTTATTGTCTGCAGGGTATTCTTCTGGAGGACTTCGTTCAGTCACTGATTCAGGGGCTTTGTGAAATTCCGCTGGCAACGGAATGAGCAAACAGTTTTCTTCCGTTTCCTACTTTGCCTCACATACATGATTTCCTGTGCTCAAACCTGGCAGGAAAGATTAAAAAAATTTTTTTTCAGTCTTTTCTCTATAGTAATCCTTCACTGGGTTTTAAGTCAGTGGGTTGTTATTTTTTCTTGTTGTTGTTGTTTTTGACAAACTGTCAAATTGTTAAACAAGTCATGTTTCCTTTAAGGTGAAAATCACCTAGTCTGAATAAATTCTGATGTAAATATAATTTGACAAATTATGATATTTTCAATTTATGATGGATTTATTGCGGGGAGGCAGTAGCCCTGTCGTAAGTAGAGGAGCTCTGTACACGTTCAAAAATACCTTTGGGCTCCAGGGTTAGCCGGCCTCTAACCCATTCTTTACTGGACCTGTCAACTTCCGGCAGGATTGGTAACCTAGCAACCAAGCAGCACCAGCAGAGACTTCCGGTACCCAGACTTGGGTTGTCCAATCAGCTCAGCGGAATTACCGCAGAGGCTGATGGGACGCTGGAGCCTGGGCGGTTGCTAGAGTCGGTACCATGGCGACGCGCAGTGGGGTTGGGGTGGCAATGGCAGCTCGGTCTCTTTTATCTGCCCGAGCTGTGATTGCGTTCCTCCTGTTGTTGCTCCCTCGCGTCTTACAGGCCCAGACCTTCTCTTTCCCTTTCCAGCAGCCGGAAAACTGCGATAACAACCAGTACTTTGATATCTCCACGCTCTCCTGTGTTCCGTGTGGAGCTAACCAGAGGCAGGATGCCCGAGGTAAGACTGTTTGAGGTGGGCCCTGGCAAAAGTAACACTTCCGCCTTGGTCTGCCCCCTAGTCCCTGGAGTCATTCAAACACGTTTTCGTCTGCAGTAGAAATGTATCAGAAAAGTTAACCGCGGAATTCTCAGAAGAGGGTTTTCTGGAAGGATTGCAGTTTGCACACGAATGAAGTGGGAGATTCTGAGTCGGCTACCCAGTGAACCGCCACCTGTAGTTCGTTTCTCGGTGCCAGTCCCCTACTCCTCATACGGGGGTCTTCAGGGCGAAACCCGGAATGCCGTTTACAGAAGACAGAGAAAAACTAGTAGAGAAGTAATCTGAGGTAAACGGGAGCAGGTGACAGGAAAGATTAGGGAGGAAAAGCAAATTAGCACTTGTGAACCTCGATAGCCCTACAGTTTTCCTCTTTGTTTCTTTCTTTTTCTTTCTTTTTTTTTTTTTTTAAGACGGTGTCTCGCTGTGTCACCCAGGCTGGAGTGCAATAGTGCGATATCAGCGCACTGCCACTTCCACCTACTGGGTTCAAGCGATTCTCTTGCCTCAACCTCCTGAGTAGCTGGGATTACAGGCGTCTGCCATCACGCCCCGCTAATTTTTTTTTTTTTTTTTTTTTTTTTTTAGAGACAGGGTCATGCTGGTCTCGAACTCCTGCCCTTGTGATCTGCCCATCCCAAAGTGCTAGGATTACAGGCATGAGCCACTGCGCCCGGCTAGCCCTATATTTTTCTTTTCAAATCCCGGAAGTTTAGAACTGGAAGGGACCTTAATCATAATAAGATCCAGTCTTCTCATTTTACGGATAAGGATATTCAGGCCCAGATGGGGACTGAAAGAATAAATATCCCTGCTCTCAGTCTTGACCTGTTTGTTTTCACGATTCCTTCCTTCCTCCCTCCCTCCCTTCCTGCCTTCCTGCCTTCCTTCCTTCCTTCCTCTCTCAGTCTTGGCCTGTGTGTTTTCACTATACTGTTTCTCTCTCTCTCTCTCTCTCTCTCTCTCTCTCTCTTTTCTCTCTTGTCTCTCTCTGCCTATGTGTTTTCACCTTACCCTGCCTTTCTCCCTCCTTCCGTCTCTCTCTCTCTTTTCTCTTTCTTTCTTTTCTTTTCTTTTTCCTTCTTTTCTTTCTTTCTTTCTTTCTTTCTTTCTTTCTTTCTTTCTTTTTCTTTCTTTCTTTCTCTTTCTCTTTCTTTCTTTCCTTCCTTCCTTCCTTCCTTCCTTCTGTCTTTCTTTTCTTTCTGTCTTTCTTTTTCTCTTTCTTTCATTTCTCTTTCTCTTTATTTTCCTTTATTTTAGTTTCTGCTCTGACAAAGTCTGGCTCTGTCACTCAGGTAGAGTGCCCTGGAGCAATCTTGACTCACAGCAGCCCCTACCTCCTGGCCTCAAGCCATCCTCCTCCCACCTCAACCTCCCAAATAGTTGGGATTACAGGACCACACCACCACACCCGGCTGATTTTTAAATTTTTTTGTAGAGATGGGGTTTTTGCCATGTTGTTGAGGCGGGTCTCAAACTTGTGAGCTCATATGATTGTCCACCTTGGCCCCCAAAGTGCTGGAATTACAAGAGTGAACCACTGAGCCTGACCCATACTATACTGTATGTGTCTAATATTATAGATTTCCTTAGGTCTTGTCCTTTTCATTGTAGAATATTACTAATTATTCTTAAGGTCTCTTTAGATTAATCTATTTTTTCTACTTAAAACATCATTTGTTCCTAGTTCTCGCTGAAACTGCTCAGAATGTCTTTTCCCATATTCAAAGTCTAAGATGTTTTCTATCTCAATTTGGTCACCCATGTTATTAACTTTCTGTCATGTTCAGCTTTGACATATCCTCATTTAAGCTCTCAAACAGGTCAGGCTGCACATGTATGGCAATATGAATGAGAAAGCATTTCAGAAGTTAAAATGTAAGATATTTTTTCATATTTATGAATATGGAAAGGTATAGTTCCATATTTATGAATCCAGATATGGTATGTATTATACTACATAGACTTCTATGGGTGCTGCTTCTACTTAATAACTCCTTAGAGAATGCTGTCCTTATCTATACTGCAAATTGAATAGTGATTATCCTATTATGTTTACTATCTATCTTAACAGAGAGAAACAGTGATTTATTTGAATGAAGGCAACTTTCCCAATAACGAAAGTAATTAAGAAAATGAGTTCTCTTCTCATTTTACAGATAAAGACATTGAAGCCCAGATTGGGAACTGGAAACATTCCTATCTGTTTGCTCTCAGTGTTGACCTATATGTTTTTACTATACTGTATGTTTCTCTTTTTTTTTTTTTGAGAAGGAGTCTTGCTCTGTTGGCAGGCTGGGTGCAGTGGCCTAATCTCGGCTCAGAGCAACCTCTGCCTCCCAGGTTCAAGTGATTCTCTTGCCTCAGCTTCCGAACTAGCTGTGATTACAGGCGTGCACCACCATGCGCAGCTAATTTTTGTATTTTTAGTAGAGACAAGGCTTCACCATATTGGCCAGAGTGGTGTTATTTTTAGTAGAGACAGGGTTTCACCATGTTGGCCAGGATAGTCTCGATCTCATGACCTCATGATCCACCCACCTCGGCCTCCCAAAGTGCTGGGATTACAGGCGTGAGCCAGTATGCCTGGCCGTATGTATGTATGTATGTTTCCTTCCTTCCTTCCTTCCTTCTTTCCTCCCTCTCTTCTTTCTTTCTCTCCCTTCCTCCCTTCATTCCTCCCTCCCTCCCTCCCTCTGTGTCTGAGACGGAGTTTCGCCCTTGTTGCCCAGGCTGGAGTGCAATGGCACGATGTTGGCTCACCGCAACCTCCGCCTTACAGGTTCGAGTGATTCTCCTGCCTCAGCCTCTCAAGTAGCTGGGATTATAGGCATGCGCCACCATGCCTAGCTGATTTTGTATTTTTAGTAGAGACGGGGTTTCTCCATGTTGGTCAGGCAGGTCTCGAGCTCCCAACCTCAGGTGATCCGATGTTTCTTTTGTTAGTTCGTTTGTTTGAGGCAAGATCTGGCTCTGTCTCCCAAGCTGGAGTGCAGTGGCACCATCTTGGCTCACTGCAGCTGCCACCTTCCAACTCAAGCTATTCTCCCACCTCAGCCTCAGTAAATTTTTAACTTACTGAAGTTAGTGAGTTACTCTGTTATGACAGAGTAAGTTTGAAATCATTGATTACATGTATATATATGTATATACGTATATATGTATATATTCGTGTGTGTGTGTGTGTATATATATATTTTTTTAAAGACAGGGTTTCACCATGTTCCTCAGGCTGGTCTTGAACTCCTGAGCTCAGGCAATCCGCCCACCTCGGGCTCCCGAAATGCTATGATTACAGGCATGGGCCACCACACCTGGCTTTTTTTTTTTTTTTTTTTGAGACAATCTACCTCTGTTGCCCAGGCTGGAGAGCAATGGTGTGATCTTGGGTCACTGCAACCTTTGCCTCCTAGGTTCAAGTGATTCATCTGCCTCAGCCTCCCAAGTAGCTGGGATTACAGG